AGGGACTGGGGGCTGGGACTGGAGTGATGTGGCTGGGGTGGTGGACGACTGACGTGACTGGGAGGGTGATGTGGTTGGCAGGTGACGGGTGTGACGGAGCAGGGAGCGGGGCGGATTTGACCTGGGAATGTTGCTGGGGAGTTACATTGGGGATGGGAAGGAAGCTACCTGAACTGTAACCTGAGCCAGGAGTGGGGTTGGGAGAAGTGACACCTTCTGCCCGGGAGACTGAACAAAGGAGAGGAGAAGCAGAGGGGAGGGGGGAGAAAGCTGCTGGAGGAGTTTTTGTTTTCAGTTTGGGCTAGGTGGGGCAACGCAGGGAACCCCAAGCTGGGGTCTAAGCTCCCTAAACCCCCCAGAAGGACTTGATTGAGGGGTTCTGGTTGTACCTACACGCTCTGCTTGGGACTGTGTTCCTGTCATCTAATAAACCTTCTGTTTTACTGGCTGGCTGAGAGTCACGGTGAATCTCAGGAAGAGGGGTGCAGGGCCCTGACTCCCCCACACTCCGTGACAACTGGTGGCAGAGGTGGGATCTACTGCATCCCGTGGACGGCGCTTCCTGCAGTAAGTGACTGGGGAGCAGTAAAACGAAGGGTGATTGACAGGGACCAGACGTGCTGAAGAGCCAATGAGGGACGGTTTCAGGGGGCGATTCACGTCTGGGAGTGTGTGACCAGCGAGAAGGACTTTTGCAGTAACAGGGTCCCCCGGGGGATCGCAGCGAGTGGTCCCAGGGGTGGAGGAGTCTGCAGCTCGACCCTGTCAGAGAGGTGGTGACCTCGAGAAGGGCTGGCACACTAGGGGTCTCCCTGGAAACTGTGGGGAGCAGTGAGCACCCAGGCCTGTGAGTGGCCAGCAGGAAGATGTATGCCAAGCGGCTTAAGAGTGACCTGGTGGAGCTGTGCAAGCAGAGGGGGCTGCGCAGTGGGAGGCTCACCAAAGAACAGCTCATTGCCCAGCTGGAGGAGGGAGATCGCTGGAATGAACTGATTCCTGTCTCTGAGGGAAGCAGCCTGGCAGATGTAGCGCAGGCACCAGTGTCTGTCCCAGCTGGGAATGGTCAGCCGGCTGCTGAGGGCTTCCCGAGACCCCTCCTTCCTATGCCTAGGGGAAGGGTGGGGAGGAGCCCAGCAAATACCGAGGGCACTATGACCCCCCCGGCCAGCAGGGGATCCTCCCGGCGATGCTCGGCATCCGTGGAGCGGAAACGGCTGGAATGGGAGAAAGAGCTAAAACTGAGAGAGCTGGCAGATCGTGAAAAACAGAGACAGCGTGAACTGGAGGAGAAAGAGAGACAGAAGCAGCATGAACGGGAGGAGAAAGAGAAACAGAGGCAGCATGAAGAGAACAGAGGCAGCATGAACTGGAGCTGGCGAGGCTGAGGGGCAGCGAGCCCCCGGCTGTGGTGAGTGAGGGGGGACCCAGGACTGCACAGAGCTTTGATAAGTGCATCCTGGCCCAGCATAAGGAGGGGGAGGACATGGATGACTTCCTGGATGCCTTTGAGACGGCCTGCGAGCTGCACCAGGTTGATCCTGCGGACAGACTCCGGGTTCTCATCCCCTTACTGGACCCCAAAGCCGTGGCATTGTACCACCAACTGGAAGGGGCAGAGAAAGGGGACTATGAACTATTCAAAAAGGCCCTGCTACGTGAGTTTGGGCTGACTCCTGAGATGTACTGGGAAAGGTTCCGGAGTCAGGATAAAACCCCTGAGATCTCATATCTGCAACTAGCCGTCCGCATGGAGGGATACGCCAGCAAGTGGGCAGATGGGGCCCAGACGAAGGAGGACCTGGTTAAACTGCTGGTACTGGAGCAACTGTATGAGCGGTGCCCATCCGACCTGAGGCTGTGGTTGAGAGAAAAAAGCCAGAGAACCCGCAACACGCAGGGCAGCTGGCCGATGAGTTTGTGAAGAGCCGGTCAGGGGGAGGCAGGGAGAAGTCCCAAAGGAACAGGCCCGCCACGATGCAGAGAGAGAGTCACCCTGGGACCTCCCAAAGGGGGAATATGGGGAATCCCCTCCTAAGGGGAATGCCCAGCGTCAGGGACAACCGACCGGTTCGAGGGGACCAACTGGACATGAGCTGCTATTACTGTGGCCAAAGAGGCCACATTCGGACCCAGTGCCCCAAGCTCAAGGACAGACTGAGCAGACCGAACCCACACCGGGTTAACTTGGTAGAGGCCCAGACGGACGAGGGGCAGGCTTCCCAGGCAAGGGGGGCTGGCAGCTTATCAACTGCTCAAGAGAGAGACGGGCCCCAGGCCAGCTTCTCTGGGGGGCTGGGTGCTCCGGACACCAAGTTCTCTGTTTACAGGGTGGGCGCGGGGCTGTCCCTGCGGAGCGAGTGCCTTGTTCCCTTGGAGGTGGATGGGAGGAAAGTCTATGGATACTGGGACATGGGCGCTGAGGTGACACTGGCCCGGCCCGAGGTGGTAGCTCCAGATCAGGTGATACCCAACACCTTCCTGACCCTGACGGGGGTGGGTGGGACCCCATTCAAGGTGCCCGTGGCGAGGGTACACCTGAAATGGGGGGCCAAGGAGGTCCCCAAGGACGTGGGCTGGGGACTGGGAGTGGAGTGATGTGGCTGGGGTGCTGGACAACTGACATGGCTGGGAGGGTGACGTGGTTGGCAGGTGATGGGGCTGGGGGCTGGGAGTGGAGTGATGTGGCTGGGGTGGTGGATGACTGACGTGTCTGGGAGGGTGATATGGCAGGGGTGTGTGTGGATGACTGACGTGGCTGGGAGGGTCACATGGCTGGAGTGTGTGTGGAATACTTACGTGGCTGGGGGGTGTTTGGATGACTGATGTGGTTGGGGGTGACATGGCTGAGTGTGTGTGTGGGTATGATGTGGCTGGCGGTGTGTTGGGGGGTGACAGGGCTGGGAGTGGGGAGGGGAGTGATGTGACTGGTGTGGTGGACAATTGACGTGGCTGGGAGGGTGGTATGGCTGGGGTGTGTGTGGATGACTGATGTGGCTGGGAGGTGACGTGGCTGGGGAGCGTTTGGATGACTGACATGGTTGGGAGGTGACATGGCTGGAGAGTGACGTAGCTGGGGGGGGTGTGGATGTGATGTGGCTGGCAGTGTGTTGGGGGTGACGTGGCTGGGGGCTGGGAGAGGAGTGATGTGACTGATGTGGTGGACAATTGACGTGGCTGGAAGGGTGGTATGGCTGGGGTGTCTGTGGATGACTGACATGGCTGGACGGTGACGTGGCTGGGGGCATGTGTGGGTGTGATGTGGCTGGCAGTATGTTGGGGGGTGACATGGCTGGGGGCTGGGAGTGGGGAGGGGAGTGATGTGGCTGGGAGGGTGATATGGCTGGGTTGTGTGGATGACTCACGTGGCTGGGAGGGTGATGTGGCTGGGTGTGTGTGGATGACTGACGGGGCTGGGGAGTGTGTGGATAACTGACATGGCAGGGAGGTGACATGGCTGTGGGCGTGTGTGGGTGTGATATGGCTGGCGGTGTATTGGGGTGTGACGTGGCTGGGGGCTGGGAGTAGAGAGGAAAGTGATGTGGCTGGGGTTGTGGATGACTGACGTGGCTGGGAGGTGACATGGCTGTGTGTGTGTGTGTGTGTGTGTGTGTGTGTGTGTGAACGACTGACATGGCTGGTTGTGTGTGAATGACTGACGTGGTTGGGAGGTGATGTGGCTGGGGGCGAGTGTGGGTGATGTAGATGGGTGTGTGTGGAGGGGGACACCCCTGGGAGGTGGGGACAGTCTCAGGATGAGTGGATTGGGTGCAGCTTAGGGCTGATGGGCTGTGGATGTGGGGGGAGCCAGCCCTCCAGCCTGGCTGCCAGGGGGTCAGCTGACTGGCCTACATCCCCAGGGTCGGGAGAGCCCGTGGGAGAAGCTGACCCCAGGAAGCTCGAGGGGGGACTGGTCCCAGGTTGGGGGGCTGTTCTGCACCAGACTGGGGTCTGTGGGGGAGTTTCCCATCAAATACACATGCCAGCCTCCCGGGGGGGCCAGAGAGCAAGTCCATTCCTTCATTTTTCTTTTTATTTCCAGTTTCGAATTTTCTACAAGAAAAGAATAAAAAAAATAGAGAACTCTACGGATCATCCAGCTGCCACGGCAACCATCGCCACGGGGCCAAGGCCATGGCACTGATCACCATGGAGACGAGGCCACAGCGCCGAGCACCGGCGGCCACAGGAGGGAGGCCACACAACGATCACCACGGAGACCACGCTACAGCATGAGTCCCCATGGAGACAAGGCCAGGGTGTGGACACTCACCCACCCAGGGACCCTTCCATGGACATGGCCCTCCCCAGGACATGGCTGCCCCTGCTCGGCCCGCTTCGTGGGCAGCACTCCGTGTCCCAGAGCCGCATCGACCCACAGCCTCCGCCAGGGCCTCTGTTAGCACGACAACACTGGAACCGACAACGGAGACGTCTACAGACACTAGGAAACTACCACCACAACCCCAGGGGAGAGCGCCCCGCTAGCCAGAGCACCCCACCACAGCCCCCTGCCAGCCACCGGCCCCTGCCAGCCAGGGCAGCCTGACTCAGCCCCCGGCCAGCCAGAGCACCCCACTACACCCAGAGTGCCCTACCACGGTACCCTGCCAGTCAGGGTACCCCGACTCAGCCAGAGTGCCCTGCTAGCCACAGCCCCCTGCCAGCCAGTGGGGCTGGAGCGGGTGCAGGGCAGCAGGGGCTGTCCACTCCCCATGGTTCTCTGCCCTCACCAGGCATATCCCCCATCAGTGGCTCTCTGTCCCCCAACTCTCTGCCCCCTCGTGGCTTCCCTCCCCTGCTGGCTCACTGTCCCTATGAGTCTACTTTCTAGCGAGTTCTCCCGCCCAGTGTTAGTGTTTCATGTCTACACTACAGGCCCCTGCGTCCGCCTTGCCCCACTAGTGGGAGGACTTGGGGGGTCATGTCCCTGCCCCTCCCAGACACTAGGGTCTCCAGGCCCCATGGGGAGAGCAGGGCCCCCAGCTGGCTGCTCTGCTGCCTCAAGCCAGCACCAGCTCCAGCTCCCCTTGCCTCTCACTCGGCTCCGTGTCCATGGGGGCTCCGGGGGGCTGTTGGGACATGTGGGCCACGGCAGTGGGGGGCTCCTCCCCAACTCCAGGCCCCTGGTCCTGGGGGTGTGGTGGGGGCTGCTCCCCGTCCTGCCCCAGGCAGGCGTGGGGCCGTGTGGGGGGGGCCGTGACAGGGCGGCGCCCCCGGGCCTTGCGGCTGTGGTGGACCTGCAGGTGCAGAGCCATGAGCTCAGGCGCGGAGGTGGCAAAGGGGCAGAAGAGACATCGGTGCAGGGTGAGCTCACCAGGCGGCACCCCCTCTAGCGCCGGCCGCAGCGACAGGTCCAGTGGCTCAAAGTCGGCCCGGCCATTGCGCAGGGCTCGGCCAGTGCAGGCCGGCTTGCGGCGGGACGGCCGGGCCGGGGGCTCATGGCTGGCCGTGCCCCAGGCCTGCGGCAGGAAGGCCCCGCGGTACTTCTCGGCTGCCTGTAGCAGCAGCTCCGGCGGGAAGGCGGGCGGCTTGGCGGGGGCACTGGGAGTGTTGCGGCCCCGTGGCTCCAAGGCCCCGGCCGCGCCTGCGCCAGCGCTGTTCTTCTGCTCACGGTGGTGGCGCTGCAGGTGGTACTTGAGAGAGCCAGACTGGGTGCCAGCGTAGTCGCAGTGTGGGCACTTGTACGGGCGCTCGCCTGCCGGAGGAGAGGGGAGACATCAGACCCATGCTGGGGACCCCAGACAGAGACAGACGTGGAGAAAGAGGGACACAGACAAACATGGAGACACAGACGGACACAAAGACAGGCCAAGTATCAGGCTAGTTTATTCCACACACACACGCACACTTAACACCCATACCCACATGCACACTACACCCACCCACCCACATGCACACTTACACACAC